GTAGTCAATTGTTAGTGATTCACATGGCTTACAAAAATAATTGTATGCCAATTATGGTCAATTCTAGTTTGCAACAATATAAAACACGTCAATCATATCCTGGAAGGTGCTCAAGACTTGTTACAAATATATTATGGGTTTTTGGTGTCATTATTTAATTTTTTATGTGATGGAGGCTTTTTTTCATACAAATTAGCTTCGTCGTTATTTATACGCATTGCATAAATAATGCGTCGTCGTTCCTTTACATCAATAATTATCGTTAATTAATTTAAAAGTGTTATTTTGTTTGAACTAATAATAAATTAAGTTTGATGCATACATATATATTTACGTATGTATATATGTGTGCATGTAGAATTAGCGTTCGTCTAGAGGATACAACAATCGAATTCGTCTAACGAATTAATCTTGGTTTGGAGATGGATTTTTGTACAAAAAATAGGAGAGAAACCAGAGCGCTTTTTCCTTCTGTTCTGTATCTAGCGAGAGAGAAAAAAATTGTATATGAAGAGAAAGGAAAATTTGTCGTTCGGGTCGGGCTATGTCAGATCGAGAGACTCCAAGGTCCTCAAGGCCCATCATTTGACCATAAATATGTACATGTATATCAAGGAGAGCCCACCATGAAACACCACACACCAATATAATTAATTTAACCAATTACAACCTAATATGACCCATTATTGCATATTACAAGCCAATATGTCTTGTTATAAAAACACAATACAAATTCACTACCCGGTAGGATCCATTATAAGACGTAACAACTCAATATTACCGATTACGATCAATAAAAAAATTCTTAATGAAGATATTGAATACCTATATATCCGACATAGCATACAAAGACTATTTAGTTCAATTAAAAAGAAGGGTGGGAATCAACTTAAGTATAAATTTAAGAGGAAGTCTAAAATTTGTAAGGGTTAGATAATTCATAGGGACATAGTACCGTAGGTTTTATATATTTGGCTGGGTTTTTGGGCAATAGAGAATGGAAGGGAGAAGAGATATTCCGTGGTTCTTCTGTTCCAGAAACGCACGAACGCAAGAGCAATAGAACGGGATTGTTGCTCTTTTCATTTTTTAGCGGGAAGGCCAACAACAAGAGGAGAAGCCGAGAGAAGCAGTTGCGATGAAGATGCGATCAACATGAAAAACATCAACCATGAGGTTGTGATCGAGAGGAGAAACAACATGCAATTGTGATCCAAACATCCTACAGGTACAATTATGGGGTTCGAGTCGATTGACTATTGATTTGTTTTTGGTTTATTTTTGCTAATTCTTGGTAAAAATAGCAGATTTTATTGAATGAGAAATATTGAAAGTAAAATTGATTTGTTTCATCTGTGGATTATTACGTTTGTTTTTGTGTTAGCCTACATCATATGTGATTATGCTCATACACTTGTTCGTTAGAGGTGTAGTTTCCAGAATTATTGTTCCCTTTTTGTTTCAATGCCCTCAATTTTGTACCTTTTGTAGTCCATGAGACTCTTGATTTGTAGAACAAAAACAACTATTATGCTCAGATAGCATTTTGCAGATCATCTTACATGTGTTTAACACTTGTTTTGTTTGCTTTCTGGTAGTTTTGACAACACGCGTGGTAGGACCTGGTCCTATTAATTTAGCCTTGTTCACAACAATTTCATGAGCTTGTCTCATCTATAGAACGGGGAATTAGATTAATCTAATGCCATGAGCCTGTGGAGTTTAGTTAAGCTAAGAATTTTTAAAATGAATGAATTGGGATTGTTTAAATTCATTCAACATCAATTGTCAATTCGACATTCCATTACCTTTGCTAGTCAGTATTGAGTTTCAAAGTTGTTAATTTTACACCCTATGGTCGACTTTGGTGTCTTTAGACTATGATGACTCATAGATCTTATATGGTTACTTTTTATATAGTTACTAAGCTAGATAAGTATATTTGTTCTTGTAAATTTATTTTCAACTCATCAAAGGGATGAGGCTCTTTTCTGTTATTATGTTCTTTTAACAATGACATTTTGTAACACCCCCAAACATCACATTTGCATATAACACATATTTCATTACATGGAAACATAGTTTACATCACAAGGTCTTACTAGTACAAAGATTCTTATATGCACCAAAATCTACATATACAAAATCCCAAAACAAAATCCTGTACTATCATATGTATCTTCAAAAATAAACAATCTCATACAGATCTCCAAAAGTAGATATCAGATTAAGAAAATAATAACATTTTTCTTTTCCCCTTATTATCCCTGGGCCCCGCCATTCTTGCATTGCATAATTTTAAAATAGAAAATGAGGGTTAGATCAGAAGGGTCTAGTGAGTTAATCCCTTCTTTGCAAATGCAGGGTGATGAACACCAAAAATAATAAAGTATCCTTGCACAGAAATACTTGCAATATAATCAAATAATGCAGTTCTCAATAACATGTAAAATAAGATATACCCAAGAACCTCAGTTCTATTAATATAATACATCTGCTTAAAGATCCAATGTTCCAAATATGAAACCAATATTGTAACCAAAACTTCATTGAATTATCAGACCATTTCTTTGTAAATTTCAACGGAAAGATTTAAGGCAATACTTGCCCTTTATGACAAACCATTTTTCCCTTCTCAATGACATCTAAATTATTATTTCTAATAGGAATAATATCTCTAATTCATCAGGCCACAACAAAAATGATGACTCAAAGTTATTAAATCCGATTAGTAATAATAATAAGAGTTATATTATTATCCACATATGACAATGCCTCCCTTATTCCAAGTACACCTCTCCTTGATATGTCACCCTTATTCCTTCATCAAAACAGGGTTACTTATCAGAACAGACAAAAGTCATCACGTCTGAAAGTACTCATTCCCAGTTACAAGCCAGAACAGACAAAAGTCACCACATCTGGGGGAACTACCTCTTAAAATAAGTTTCATATCAAAACAGACTTACGTCACCACGCTTGATAGAAACAATGTTCAAAAATCCAATTCCATACCAAAACAGACTTACGTCACCATTCTTGGTTGGAACATATCTTTTTTATTTTAAAATATATAAAATACCCTTTTTTATAAATCCATAATTAAACCTAATGATAAACATTTATGTAAATGTCAAAGATACACAATACAATTAGATCATCCGGATAAGATATCCGGACAATACTCAATCAATTTAGGAAACTAATCCGCACAATCTTTAGTCAATTTAAGACTAACAAAATTTGTCAACTTTAGCCGGATATGAAATCCGGTTACTTCTTGTCCGGATTAGAAATCCAGATACCTTGTCCAGATATGAAGTCCGGTCAAAATAAAGAACCCGGGTGATTGATCTAGTATTAAACCGGTCAACCCTTGAACGGTTTAGCTTTAAACCGCTAATGCCTTGAACAGTTTAAGATAAACCCGAACACCCCTTGTCCGGTTTAAGATTGAATCCGGACAACACTTGATCGGTTTAGATAAAATCCGGTCAACACTTGTCCGGTTTAAGGTTGTAATCCTTATGATACAGTGTGATTCAAAATAAGACAATTCCACTAGCAATGAATTGTATACAAACAATTTATACTCAAAGCATAATACACTCACCTTTATGCA